TTTACTCAACCTGTCCAAAACAACTTCACATCTTTACTTCCTCAAGCATTGCTATCACCATGTCTGTTTCCCTACCATCAGCTCTACCTCACTGGCTAGCTGCCTAGAACTTCCCCTTACCCCCCATATCCAGTCAACTGTCAAATCAGTTAACATCTCAAAAACGTTTGCATACACCCCTATCTAATGCCAGATGTGGTTAAGGTGCTAGTCCTTGCAGCTATACTCTCTCTGGCTAATGCTATCCACTTCTTAATGGTCTTAACACATTCTCAGCTTGCCCTGCTAGAGTTTATAATAAATGCTGTGGCGAGGCTCAACTTTCAAACTGCACCTCCCACACCTCCCCTCTATGACAGTACACGGCTTCCCGTAAGATATAGGTCTCAATTTAAAAGTCTGGTACTTGCTTACAAATCTATACATAACACTGCTCCAACTTAGCTTTCCTCACCAATACACAAGTATGTCACCATCCAAGCCCCTACGCTCTGCCGAGGGCCTGTGTCTCAGTCCTCTAACGCCCACCACCTTCAAGATTTCTCTATAGCTGCACTGTTTCAATGCTCCATTACATACAGTGAGATCCTCCATAGACAGAACCAATTTCCTGATTGACACTTCTAGACATTGGGCAGAGCTACCGCTGTCCAGAAGTGTCAGGCGTGGGAAATTTATAGAGACTTTGTCTCAGTACTGCTTAACTTGGTTGTGATTTCAGTGAAAATATATCAATCTTTATGAAATACTAATTTTTTGGAGGGGGGGTTGCCAATATAAACTGCCAATATAAACCATTAATAGCTTTCCCTTACCACACCTTGTTAACCCCACCCACCTCTACTGCAACTGTGCCATCTAAAAAAACTAAGTCTTCATTGTAAACCATTCTAGCAAGCTACTTTTCACGTACATGAAACACGTCCTTCCCTTACATCTTGTGTATCTTAACGGACTCTCCCTTGAATGTATGCTTGTTTGAGCAAGGCCTTCAACAACCTCTGTTTCTGTGCATCCATCTCGTCTTTTTGCAAATACGGATAGTCCACCTATTGTACAGGGCTGCGGAATTTGTTGGCGCTCTATAATTAAATATAATAATACAAAAACAGATATATGCAAACACATTTAACCCTTAGGATTTTCTACTTACAGGCACATGACATTTAAACCTGGCCCAGTTCATACAGACAAGTAACGATGGAAAAGAGTGCCCTTCTCACATGAAATAAAGCTGTTTAACCTATTAACTTATTTTATTTGAGAGCCATCTGGATGCCTACTTCCTCGCTTGTTTTGGTGGTGGAAAGATGTGCTCTTATGGTGAAACACTGTGCTTAATTGAAATGAAGAGTATTATATTTATGTGACTTTACCATTTGAAGCCGCACTGTTTATTAGATGATATATAAGAGCTATTGCACAGTAAAATGCAAATGAGTCTCCAAATTCTGAAGCATATGAATAATTTCTGTTTTTTGGGTTTTTTTCAGCAATCCCAGTTTGGAGAAGAAGTCTGTTCTGTAACATTCTCTGCATTGGATATCCCTCCTCCTACAGGGCCTCTGTGGATTCTTGGGGCCACCTTCATAGGTCAATATTACACTGAATTTGACAGACGTAATAATCGTATTGGATTTGCTACATCCCGGAGTGTAGAAGGAAAATGAGTTATTCCCATTGCCGTCAGAAAAGGCACAGATTTACCCTGCTGTTCCCATAGACGCAAAATTAAAAATGTAAAAGCTGTTGAAATGTAGTAAACAAATTTGTAAAGAATTGTCAATCTTTTGTATATCTATATCAACGCTTTTAGTGTTATGAGAAGGGTGCAGTTAGATTAGTTATATGTATAGATACTAATTTTATATTAGATAGTGAGTTAGATATGGTGAGAGAAAGGGATATTATCTCAAAAGGGAATGAGCGTGCGGAGTTAGCTAAATTCTGTTGAAAATTAATGCTTGCTCATGGTTTGTACAATGCATGGTCCATTCAGATGAAAAGGATTTGACCTATTATAGACCTGTGAGCTTAACTTCTGTAACTGGGAAAATATTTGAAAGGCTATTAAGGGATAATATTCAGGAATTCATTGGGAAGAACTTCATTGGCAATAATCTGCATGGTTTTATGAAACATAGGTCATGTCAAACTAACCTAATTGCGTTCTACGAAGAAGTAAGTAGAAGTATAGATCAGGGTGTTGCAGTGGATGTGATCTACTTGGATTTTGCCAAGGCATTTGATACGGTTCCTCAATAGGTTAGTCTTCAAACTAAAAGAAATTGGTCTAGATGAATATTCTTGTTCTTGGGTAGAACATTGGCTTAAGGATAGAGTACAACGAGTTGTAATTAATGATAAATTTTCAGGCTGGACAAAAGTGGTAAGTGGTGTCCCTCAGGGTTCTGTTTTGGGACCACTTCTATTTAACATATTTATAAATGATCTTGAAATAGGCATTGAAAGCCACGTATCAGTGTTTGCAGATGACACAAAACTTTGTAAAGTAATAAAATGTGAGCAGGATATTGCTTTGCTGCATAGGGATTTGGGGACTGGGCACTAAAATTGCAGATGAAATTTAACGTAGAGAAATGCAAAGTTATGCACTTCGGGGTTAAGAATGCACAAGCAACTTACACACTAAATGGTAGTGAATTAGGAATACCCACACACGAGAAGGAATTGGGAATTGTTATACACAACAAATTAGGCAGCAATATGCATTGTCAATCTGCAGTTGCTAAGGCCAGTAAGGTTTTGTCATGTATAAATAGGGGCATAAATTCTCGGGATGAAAATATAATTTTGCCTCTTTATAAATTGCTGGTAAGACTAAACCTTGAATATGCTGTGCAATTTTGGGCGCCTGCTCTAAAGAAAGATATGAAAAAGAAAAAGTCCAGAGACGAGCTAGAAAATTGATAAAAGGAATGGAGCATTTTAGTTATGAAGAAAGGTTAAAAAAATAAATCTGTTCAGTTTGGAAAAACGGTGCCTGAGAGGGGTATGATAAACTTTATACAAATATATTCGGGGCCAGTACAAACCTTTACCTGGAAATCTATTCATAAACAGTGCTATACATAGGACACGAGGTCACACATTTAGCCTGGAAGAAAAGAGATTTCATCTAAGGCAAAGAAAAGGTTTTTTTACAGTAAGAGCAATAAGGATATGGAATTCTCTGCCTGAAGAGGTGGTTTTGTCAGAGTCACTACAGATGTTTAAACCGCAATTGGATAAATACTTACAAAAACATAACATACAGGGATATAATTTCTAATTAGTGGGGTAATAGCTGCTTGATCCAAGGAGACATCTGACTGCTATTTTGGGGTCAAGAAGGAATTTTTTCCTAGTTTGTGGCAAAATTGGAAGTGCTTCAGACTAGGTTTTTTGCCTGCTTTTGGATCAACAGCAACAACATATGTGAGGAAGGCTGAATTGATGGACGCAAGTCTCTTTTCAGCTATGTAACTATGTAATTACCCAGTACAGTATAATATGTACTCTCGGATGAATTAATGGTGAACGAGGCTACAGTACTGCACGTCTTGAGATCTGATATATTGGATGGTTAGACAACACTCCTATAGTACTACACCTAGATGAATCTTCCTCTTTGACTCCAAATCGGGTATTGGATGACTATTTAGTTTTGAATCCAGAGAGTAAACTTCATGCATAGACTTTATTAAAAAACTACTTTGATGACAACAATAGTTCTGAGGTTCCTGATGGGGTGATCTGGAATGCGCACAAGGCTGTTTTGCGAGGGCATTTCATACAAAGGGTGTCTTATCTGAAGAAGGCTAAAATTAACAATCTGAAAACACTTGAAAAATAGCTATATACTTTAAATCAAGCAAATAAATTTGTCCCATCTGCTGCATTGTCAGCAATGACAGCAGATACCAAAATAAAAATCAATCAGATTAATTTGGAATACACTTACTTTATGATGAGACACCTCAAACAAACATTTTATCTAAAAGACAACAAAGCCTCATCTCTTCTGGCATCAAAACGTAGACACAGATTGTCACAATCTAGAATTTAATACGTATTAAATGACAATGGTAAAAAAAAAAATTACTAATCCTGTCAGGATCAGTAACCTGTTTGCCACTTACTATAAATCATTATATAATCTAAATTCTAATTCAGACATTATTCAACCAACACAGGAAAAAATACAAACATTTTTGGATAAAATTTATTTACCTCACATATCTCAAGAAAAATTGGACTTTCTAAATTGCGACATTAAAATAACACAGGTGTTGGAGGCGATTAAAAACAACCCTACTGGTAAGGCGCTTGGTCCTGACAGGTTTTCAATGGCGTACTACAAGACATATTTTGATATTCTACCCTGATATAGATCCAATGTGATCTTTGGTATATTCACGGGAGCCCAAATTATTACTTCATGTATACTTGGAGGAGCGTGAATTAGACATCAGACACCTGTTGGTATTCAAAATAAGCCTCTGACCTTTATTTTGTCAGTTGTGTTTTTATACATTAAAAAGTGTTTACGAGCAAATACTCATAGGACAGTATTAGGAAGGGAGTGAAAGGGTGAAAGGAGTACAGATAAGACATAGGGATGAACGTCACGTACATATAACAGATAAGTTCAGAGAAAGAGAAAGAACAGGAGAGGAGATTTAGGAGAGACTGCTCAGGTGGGGGCCATCTGCTCCCGGAACTAGACATATATGGTCTTAAGTGTCGTTTTAAGCATTTCCTGAGTCCAAGTTAGCCAACTTTAATATAGGATATCTAATATGAAACCTATAAGCTTGAACCTTGGAATCAAAGTAAATTCTTTCACAAGCCCCATATTTAACTAGGTTGTTTAATACATTCTTGTCTGAGGGAAAGATGTCAGAGGAGGCTTTATGTACGCAGATAGTCATCTTACCAAAGCCAGGTAAGAGTCCAAACAAATGTACGAATTTCAGGCCAATTTAATTGATTAACAACGACACCAAATTACATGCTAAGATTCTGGCTAATAGGTGAGCAAATATTACCCCTTTATGTTCAACAGAGATCAAGTCGGATTTGTACATGGTAGACAAGTCCCAGATGGAACCAGGCGATTCATCAACGTAATACATCAAATTAAAGAGTCATGTGTGCGTTCTCTGTTCCTTTCTTTAGATGCAGGGAAGGCGTTCAATAGGATCCACTGGGACTATTTGAGAAATGTTATGGAAAATGTAATATCCCTACACCGTTTATTTCAGCTGAATTTGCTTTGTATGGTCATCCCACAGCAAGGGTCTCTGCATCTGGTTTACTATCTGATAGCTTTCCTTTGACAAATTGGACAAGGCAGGGGTGTTATGGCTGCATTAAAACAGACGCCTAAGGCAAAACACATGTTTCCTTCAACCAAGATTACCCTCAAGGCATGGGATATTATTTTTAGTAGTGTTAGACCATCCTCCAGTTTATCACGAGCAATGCCATTATCCATTTTAAATTATTACTTATCCCCTCTAGATCTAAGTTTTTTTCACTCCCATTATATTTATAATTTGGACAATTTTTTTCAGGGAATTCCCTTTTAAAATTTGATCAATTTTTTTTTTATATATATTTTGTTTTTATTGACATTTTTCAGATATGACAGACATAGTACATTTAGAACATATGTAGTTCAACAATAATTACAACTGAGATGGCCCTCTGCTGGTATCAATATATACTCCTGTCTAGGGCAGTTATACCACATTGTTAGGCATACATTATGTCATGAACGGTGCGATATGTTTGGCTTGGTAAAGCCTGGCTATTTTAGGTTAAAAATGTGCAGTACTGTTTGTCAGAGCTGTGCGCCCCCGCTTTATTCCATGTGTGTTTGATGTGGTCTCTTCATTTGATTATTTTGAACGAGACAGGAGCCGTTATCATAGTTTTATATTTGGTAGGGGTAACCTTTCCATGTCTCCGTGTTAGTGCTGGGCGGTGCAATCTCTGTCTCCCTCGTGCTAAGCTGAGGTGGCTCATAAGGGGGGCTCTCCCCTCCGCCGTCCCGCGCCCCCGCAGATGCAGCCGGCACCCCCAGGGCAGGGCCCCACGCAGTCTCCCTATCGTCCTGCCAGGTAGAGAATCCAGGGAGTCCAGCACTGTTGATATCTCTCCATTTCATCTCGTATGGTTGCTGTGAGTCTCTCCATCTCGTGCAGTTCTTTGACTTTATCCATCCATTGTTGGAGTGTGGGAATCTGTGTTGACTTCCATCTGCTTGGGATCAGGAGTTTTGCTGCGTTAAGGAGTTGTTTGGTCAGTGATTTTTTATACTGTGAGAGAGGTGTCTGAGTGTGGTGAAGAAGCATCGGAAGCGGCTGAAACGGGAGGTCGGTGTCCAGGACCTCTCTGATCGCCTCGTGGACCTCACGCCAGAATGGGGTTATTTTTTCACAAGTCCACCATATATGTCTATGCCCCTCCGTTGTGCACATCTCCAACATGTGTCCGGGACATCTGGTAGCATGCGGTGTAAGAGTTCTGGGGTGCGGTACCATCCGATGAGCAGTTTGTAGTTTAGCTCCAGTAATTTGGAGCACATGGAGCTTTGGTGCGTCAGAATGTATATTTTAGTCCACTGGGCGTCAGTGAGTTCTATGCCCGTCGCTCCTTCCCAGCGCGCTGCGTGTCTCGCAGGTTCCAGCGGGACTGACGTCCTGAGCATTGTG